ACCAAAAGCTCAGTACTTACCCGGGCATCTTGGTCAATCAGTTCATAGTCAATGACAGAGCCATCCTCTGCTCTTCTACCCTATGGAAAAAAAAAAAAAAAAAAGAACTTCAAATCCATTTGTTTTTGTATTCTAAAACTGAAAATGTTTTCTCCCCAGTCCATGTAAGCCATTACTTCATTTAATAAGTTAAGTATCCACCTAAGATTTTTCTTTCTTTGAAACCTAGACAGGGCCGGGCGTGGTGGCTCATGCCTGTAATCCTAGCATTTTGGGAGGCCAAGGCGGGTGGATCATGAGGTCAGGAGATCAAGACCATCTTGGCTAACACAGTGTAACCCCGTCTCTACTAAATTAGCCGGGCATGGTGGCACATGCCTGTAGTTCCAGCTACTCAGGAGGCTGAGGCAGGAGACACGCTTGAACCAGGGAGGTGGGGGTTGCAGTGATCCAAGATCGTGCCACTGCACTCCAGCCCTGGTGACAGAGTGAGACTCTGTTTCAAAAAATAAAAAAGAAAAAGAAACCTAGACCAACCAAGGAGTGGTAAAATCCTTGAGGAAGGAAGTGGGGGCTGTGCCTTGCTATCGACAACCCCCTCCTTCGTACCTGGTCCTGGCCTACACACCTTATAGACATCCCTGTCCCCATCCCCCACAAAAAGCTGATGAGATTTAGTTCTTTCCCACAGAGAGCTAGCGATGCAGATGGAGGAATATGCGGACACAAATGTAAAGCGGCCCAGGAACCTACAGCACTAGGAAGACACAAAATGCAGGAGGAGGAAGAACTGTCAGAGAGCAGAGTCAGCAAAGAGGGTGAACAATGGGCCCGGGCTTAAGCTGAAACTTCAAGGGTCAATCAGAGGCAGCTAGCCAAGCGGAGAAGGAGAGCCAGCCGGTACACCAGGGATGGCACAGCACACTCCCAGGTAAGTAAGGAGCTCCCCTGTCAGAGCAGAGTTGAGCAGGAGAGAATCTGAGAAAAGAAGATGCAGGGAGGGTTGAGAGGACCTTTCACAGCAGTTAGGAGTTTAAATTTGATGCAGCAGAAATGGGGTTTGAACAGGGGAGTAAAACGGTGAAAGTGTATTTCACAGAGATCCGTGGATGGCGGTACATGTGGCTGGTGGTAGCGAAGAGAGGAGAAACAGGGAGAATGGCTTAGGAGCTGTTGCATTAATGGAGATGTGAGTGGCCAGATGCACTATCTGTCATTTGTCATCAGGGTTCCCAGGGTCTCTCATCTCTCCCCTGGCACATAAGCATTAAGCTGCACACTGGCCAGAACTAGGGATTCACAGGGGAAGTGCCCCTTCCTCCATGTTAATGTGTTAATATTAGCGATCAGCTCCACAAAGACAACTCCACTCCAGACAAAGGACTATATGGGCAAATTCCTCCATGAGAAGTGAATGCAGGAAAAAGAAACCAGAAGGTTCCTTCCCACTGGGTCCTGCATGACCACAGATAGAGGCAAAGTGACCTTCCCTAAGTCACGCGGCCAAGGCTCTGGCACATAAATCCAGGCCAGGACTTGAGAGCTGCCCATCCCTCCTCTGGCTCCCAAAGTTCACTTGTCCATGAGGTTTTGCAGGATAAGAAATCCTATTATACAAAATTGACAACTCTGCAGTGACAGTGCAAACCCACTTTCGAAAATGCAGCTGAATTTCTGATGCAGGCACAGGGCACTTAGTTAATTCACTCCAAGTATAAAATGAGGTATGTGACATGACTTGGGAGGCAGCAAGGGCAAAGAAAGAAACTGGGAAACCAACCTTTGCCAGGGCAACCATCAGCTTGCGGAAGTCACCAGATGTGTCCGAAATAATGTCCTTCTCCAAATCAGTCTTGTACACTTGGAGGAAAATACATCTGGTTTTATGCTTTCTGCCTGTGTAGCCAACCACCCACCCCAATCTCCCCATTTCCCACTAAGACTCTGAAAAAAAGAACAGCTATGTCAGCTGGACATACCCATTCTCCTTAACCCCAAACAGAGGAAGGATTCACTAGAATGATTTTCACCCTCATGAAATCAGAGCCAGAGTTATTATCCATGACAGGGGGCAGCAGGGCTAGATCAAATCAGGGATCCTCAATTTTGATCGGTGACCTCTTGTATAGTTTAAATACTGGCTCCCAGCCCTCCTGACTGTGAATACTCGTTTTGAACATCAAAAAAATTGGAGGTCTACACACGCACATGGACACACACAATTGTGCTTTACTGTCCACTGAGAAAATGCACAATGGCAAAAACTACTAAGAATTAAACAATGCTTTTGAATGAAATTATATTTCAATATTCAAAATAGCATCTATATTGAAATATAGTAGCTAGAGCAGAACTGTAATGTTCCTAATATTAAAAAAAGATAAATGTGTGAGGTGATGGATACCCCAATTATCCTGACTTGGTAATTCCATATTATATATATGTACCAAAATATTCCATGTACCCCCAAAATATGTACAATTATGATATATCAACTTTAAAAAGTAAAAGAAAAGAGAAATGCAGTAGCAATGTAAAGTTGCATTGTTTATTCCACTCATAGCCTTCTATATTGCTTAGTGTGCACAGGTCCACATGGGTCTCTTGCTGTAATTCTTCAATTATCCACAGTCCAGAGTTGGCAACGTCTTGAGCAGAGACTGAACAGCACCCAGTAAATGGAATCCATATTTAATACTTGCTACTTCTCCTCATCAGATTTTTAAAAATAAATTTTGTTTTCTCTTCTTTCCCTCCTGTCTACCCTTCTTCTAACACAGAAGTTCTAGTGGAATGTAATAATCAAACTGCAGGCAATGAGGAGGTGAAGGAGAGCAACCTGGATGACAGCCAACCTCGCCTGCATGGTCAAGGTGGCAGGTGCTTCTGTACATCAATAATCCAGGCATCTTAGCCCGAACACTAACCCCAGTGGCCATGATACAGTCACATAAATTGGGCTGAGGATGAATCACAGAAATCAAGCTACTCACTTTCCTTGTAGACTCTGTTAATTTCCTGCAGCTCCTGGTTGGTTCTGGAGCAGATGATCTCAATGAGAGAGTCCTCGTCGGTTCCCAGCCCCTGTGAACCAGGAAACACGAACATCAGCAGGGAAAGGCTTCCCCACCGTTAGCCTACTTCTCTGATCTCCATCAAGTAAATCGCAAACATGGGTTGGGTCTGTTAGCATCCTGCTTTCTACATTCCTACTGAAGAATCCATACTCTATCCTTTAGCACAAAGTAATGTTATCTTCTATTCCTTTAAAAAATGCTTCACCAGAGCACAAGATGGTGGAATTGGCATGTTTGAGTTCAACTGTTAATATGTTTTGTTTTTTAAAGTAGTGAATAGGG